GAGAGAGAGCACATGAGAGGAGGGAGGGTCAGAGGGAGAAGCAGACTCCCTGCTGAGCAGGGAGCCCGATGCGGGACTTGATCCTGGAACTCCAGGATCATGACCTGGGCCGAAGGCAGTCGCTTAACCAACTGAGTCACCCAGGCGCCCAAAGGCATTTCACTTTTATATAAGAAATGTGATGATTATAAATAAGGATGTATGCAAATCACTTAGCAGAGTGTGTGGAATACATAGTAAATGCTCATTAAACATAGTTGCAGTAGTAGTGGTTATTAGTCAAGCAGAGTTTATATTTGGCTGCTGTCTGCTGGCTAGCAATGAATCTTAAATAGTGGAACTCACATTTGTATAGAAAGAAGTGAAAATATTTCAGATGTTGGGCCTTCACTGACTTTCTGCTAGGAAACCCCATTTGGCATTCAGTTAAACTGTCTTTCAGTTTTTGTATGCCACTTTCCTAAACTAATGTTTCTTTACTTTACATCATAATTCTCAAGGCTTTCCTCCTTATGTTTTTCTCCCTACGCAATATACCTAATAGTAAAGTCTGTCAACAAATTCAATATGTAATTTAACATTTTTTTTTTGTCTCCGGAAATTACGTTATGCTTTTCTTATCTGTCATTTTCTTCATTAATAATGCTGATTCCTGAAAAGTCTTTTATATAGAAGCTTCTTTCATTTTCTGATTCTATTTTGCAAAAGTTATATAGAAAGACCTAAACCCTAAACCCTAACCCCAACCCCAACCCGATCTACTCATATAATTTAGTATCATTCCTTACGCCTGAAATAAAGGCTAAAGGAAATCAAACCATGAACAAGTGAGAATTTTTAGAGTTTAGCAGTATAATTAATTCCTCATCCCCAAAACACTGGCACAGCACAAAGGCAAAATCAATGTTGCAATGTGTAAAAAAGGCAAATGAAAGATAATACAATTTATTTTTATCCATTTTTGTAATACCTGTATGCAGTATTTTAAGGCCGGGTTTATTATATATACTGATAGAATTTTTGTACACTAAGATATACACAAATAATTTTTATTAAAGTAGGATCATACTAGAGAGACAGTTTGGCAGCCTGCTTTCTTTTCACATAGCAACACTGTGCGCTTCCCCCGTGCCGTTAGCCGCAATGTTGGACCATGTTTAATGACTGCATATGTCCCTTTCTGGAAAGGGGCTCTAGGAAATACAGATTTTTATGGTTACCTTGAGGGTTAAGAGCTATAAAATTGTGGTTTTCATCTTTGACATTTTAAAATCAGACTGTATGTTAGACTAGACATCCATTTTGTAAAAAATGTTTTCCCCTGCTTTGGGGGCCATGGACGTAGTGGAGCTGAGGCAGGAGAACACAGGTTTCTTGAGAAAGGCCCCTCCCCTCTAGCTAGTCTAGGCCAGATGAGGGTCATACCTGTGATTTGGACTTGCTTCTGCATGTCAACAGAATGGTGTATAACAGTTTTGATTTCTTAAAGGTCTTTTCTAAGGCAGATTTTAAACTCTTTAATGAAAGGCAAGGGGGAGTAGTACATTTGTGTTACAGTTAGCCAAACTAGGATATCCGTGACCAATATGTAGATTTGTTACAGATGAAACATGAGCTATTAATTTAGCCTTTAAAAAAGAAATTAAGATATATATATTTATAATATATAGCTAATGGCTATAATAACAGCTAATGGCATGAGGTAAGTACCCAGTGTTGCTAAGTAAAAAAAAAAAAAAAAAAAAGCAGGCTGCCAAACTGTGCCTTTGTATGATCCTACTTTAATAAAAAGTATTTGTGTGTTCTTGGTGTAGAAAATTCTATAAGTAGAGGGGACGCCTGGGTGGCTCAGTCATTTGAGCGTCTGCCTTCGGCTCAGGTCATGATCCCAGGGTCCTGGGATCGAGCCCCACGTCGGGCTCCCTGCTTAGCGGAGAGCCTGCTTCTCCTTCTCCCTCTCCCACTCCCCCTGCTTGTGTTCCCTCTCTCGCTATCTCTCTCTCTGTCAAATAAATAAATAAAATCCTTAAAAAAAAAGAAAAGAAAAATTCTATAAGTAGACACAGTAAACCTGGTCTTAAAAAATATATGTTACACTGTTAAATAGTGTAGAAGGGAACTATGGCATCCTACTTGTATTTTGCCAGATGAAACCACTTGACAAGTAGAACTCTCCTGAGACCACATGAAGGAGCCTTCCTCAGATTTCATCTAAAATAATATACTGATGCTGAGCTGAATGTGCATATGCGCTGGTTTGCTTCGAAAGTCATTATGAATTTAAAATGCATTCAAATAAAAAGCTCTGATTACAAATTGTTGTACTTACTGTCTTATAGATGATCATTGTGTGAGTCGCTGTAACTCCCAGAGCTGCATGTTAGTCCAGGAAGAAGAGCAGTATCTACAGAGTGGAGACCAGCAACTGACTCGTCATGTGTTGCTATGTTTACTTCTCATTATTGGCCTGTTTGCTGTAAATGTTTCTTCTGATTTTTGTTTTGGGGCCATTTCTTTAAATGTTTGGCAAAGATTTTATTCAGGCATCTGGGGGAAACTTAATTGCTGCTTCTGGGAGGGGTGGGTGGCAACGAGGCCAATCTGAATCCTGATCTTGAGCTGTTTTGGGGAGCAAGGGGAATGAAGAATTCACAGCACTCTGCTGCCTAAATGCCCCAATAGCCTCTTTTGCTTAGAGTCGTTTACTCTATTCTCGGAACCTAGAATCTGGTAAAACCAGGTATCCCCACGCTGTGTATGGGGCCACTTATTCTAATGTATTCCTTCCAAGACCGACCTCAGTGGATAAATGCCTACGTGGTCTCGCAGCAGACATTCCTCAGATAAATAAGCTTTTAAAACAGAATTTTTCATTATGAAAATAACACAACCACTTCATACAATAGATAGTTATAAGATTACCGCCTTCTATTTTTAATACATTTTTTCATGGTTCTAATTGTCATACAGATTTATACCCTGCTTTGTCACCTATGTCTACCATTTTCATCTTGCTACATAGTTGTTCCTAACTGTTACTTTAAATGGCTCCTTAATAAACCATAGAGGAGATACATTATAATTTTCTCAACCACTTTCTTAGGGATGATTATTCCTAGTTCTTCAAAACGCTTAAATAAACATCTCCATGCAGTATTTCCGTATGATAGACTCTCAAGGTTGGGAAATCTGGATCAAAGAGTACAGATATTTCGGTGCCTTTGGATGCATTCTATCAAATTGTTTTCTGAAGGAGTAGTATAGATTTGTAAAAGTACTCTCACCAGCACTGAATGTTATAAATTTTAAAATTTGATAATTTTATAAGTGAAATACAGCACTTTATTTTTACAATGCATTTCTCTGATTACTGGGGCTTTTAGAATTAGTTTTATGTCCTCTTTTGTGAATTATCAGTTATTATTATATAATTCTTTGAGATGGTTCAAGTGTAACTTACCTAGAGATGGGAGACGGACCATAAAACATATGAAGAAACCTTTTTACATGGGGATGCTCGTTACATAGAATGCTATCAGCCAGCACCATTTTAACTGCTGCTTAAGAAAAAAAATCAAAAAGTAAGAAATGCTGCCAAGAACGGCTGCTTAGCGATGTGATTGTTTTCATTGTGTAGAACTAATTTTAAAATCAGTCCTGTCTTAGGCTAGTCGGCAGTCCTGATGTATTATGTAAGCTTCTGTATTATGGCGCATGTCTTCTTGCTTCAAGTCTGATCAAATTAGATGCTGTTTGAATGACATCTGTCAAGAGGAGAGGTTGAAACCTCTTGTTCAAAAGACAAAGCCTCTATTCTGTCAGTGTTTTTCCTTTTAGTCTTTTTCTGCCTGATTATTACGCAGATAAGTTATTGTACTGTGTTCTGGATAGAGAGAAATGATTAGCTAGCTTCATTTTAAAATACTATTTTCACCTTCCTTTACAGAATCTTTCCAGTTGTTTGTGGTGGCTATTCAACCAAGAACCTGGAAGACTCTATGTTGAGTTACAGTTTTTCTGTGCTGTGTTTAACTTTGGCCAGGTATTTATTCCCTGAGAACTTGGAAGGCTTTTTTCTGTTTTCCTGGATGGGCTGTTTGGGGGGGCAGTGGTGCGGATGTTGTTGTTTTCTTTTAAATCAAAAGGGTTTAGTTGGTTTGCCGGCTGCTGGTGCATGACAGCTGACAGTGGCTGCCAGTCTCCATGTTGGTTCAGGTCCTCAGAATGCACCCGGAGTGTTTCAATCAGAAACACCAAATCGTTTTTGCTTTGGTTTTAAAATAAAGAATGATAATTTAAGCAGGGACCAGGTGTTCCAGCTTCTTTTTAAACTTTGTGATGGTCTTAATAAGTCACTTTGGGAAGAAGACTTACCTTCGCTGAGCCTTTAGTTTCATCACTTAAATTGATGAACATCATTTCATTTACATTTCAATGTTTCTTGAACAATAGGTACTTAAATCTTTTTAGAAAATCATGTGGTAGATAAATAAATTTTGGCCAGGGATAGTTAGTTACCATTCCTTGAGGACCTACTACTATATGCCAACCATTATTAAGCATGATACATTAGTCATCTTGCTTAAACGTCTCAAGAATACCTACAAAGTAGACATTATCGTTCCCAGTTTACAAATTAGAAACTAAAATTCCATGAAGAACTAATATAATAGGTGCTATTGTTTTTATGTCACTATTAAAATGGATATTTAAGGATAAGTGATGTTTTATGTACTGGGAAGATATTTTTATGTGTAAAGTTCAAAATGTGATTCTGTTTTTAATCCCTTACCTTTTAATTAGAGAATATTAGTCCCCAGATTAAGTATCAGGTTGAAGAAAATACTGTGTTTGAAATCATGGGGTTTTAATAATCAACTGAGTCAGTTAACATTTATCAGTAAAGAGTCCCGCACATTTTACCCTAACATTAATTTCCTTTTTTAAAAAAAAAAGATTTTATTTATTTATTTGACAGAGAGAGACACAGCGAGAGAGGGAACGCAAGCAGGGGGAGTGGGAGAGGGAGAAGCAGGCTTCCCGCTGAGCGGGGAGCCCGCGCGGGGCTCGATCCCAGGACCCTGGGATCATGACCTGAGCCAAAGGCAGATGCTTAGTGACTGAGCCACCCAGGCGCCCCCAACATTAATTTCTTGAAATATTTCCATTTTGTTTTGCCATTATTGTGGGAGCAAAATGACTCTGTCCAGATAGATAAGTGACCCATTCAGTTTATTACAGATAGACTTGAGTATCCCAAGCTACTTGATGCCCACCTCACTTTGTGATTCCATGTAAGATCTGATTCTGTACCCAAGACCTATAAAATACTAGGTTGAAAACTCATGGTCTCACTCAGCATTTTGTATTCAGGAAAGCCACTCCAGGCTGAGTCACCCCAAGACTGGCACTGAGAAGGCTTCACAAAGAAGCTAATGCCAGGAATGTTGCATTTGAAATGATGCCCCCACAGCTAATGGCCCAAGTGTTTCAAAGGAGAGACAGAGATATACAGCCCCCCCCGCCCCACACCACCACCACCACCACATCCTATATAGGTGTTGTAGTAAGATCATTCCTTTTTGGTTGTTTGTAGTTTGGGGGTGAAGAAAGGTAGATCCTCCATGCAATATATTACATTCTCCATCCCACCTCCCACCAGCTTGCACTTAGATCCTTATCCCACTGTGCCTGACAAATGGCAGCTCCTAGCCTCCTGTCTCTCTCCAAGCAGTCCCAATTGTCCTGATCTGTGGCTGACTTCTGGTGCCATTTTGCTTCATCACCCCCAGATCCTTCAAAGCCTTTCCCTAAGCACCTAGCCAACTTCATTTCACATAAAGTTTGTTCAGTTACTTCATTATAACCAGAGACTATATAATTCTATAATTTCTCAAGTGTTAACAGAAAAATAATAAATACCTAGGCACAATAGGAGCTAATTTATTTTCTTTTTTAAAAAGAGGGGGAAAAAAAGACATAAAGCTTTTATTTATTTATTTATTAAGATTTATTTATTTATTTATTTATTTGACAGAGACACAGTGAGAGAGGGAACACCAGCAGGGGGAGCGGGAGAGGGAGAAGCAGGCTTCCTCGCTGAGCAGGGAGCCCGATGCGGGGCTCGATCCCAGGACCCTGGGATCATGACCTGAGCCGAAGGCAGACGCTTAATGCCTGAGCCACTCAGGCACCCCAACATAAAGCTTTTAAATGTTTTCATTTTTCTTCAGTAAGTTAGCATGAAGATGTGGTTGCTCAGTACTGGTTTAAACCGGTTATCCAACATAATTCGTAGGATAGGTGACTGGAAAGAGACAGCCAAGTATCAGAACTGCCTCCAGGCATTAAACTTTAGAGGGCCTGCCTTACAATATTGCTCTAATCACTATGGGTTTGCTTCCCTCAGCACTAAATATGGTGACTTCCATAACTTCCCAGTCTTAACGTTCTAGTGTTGAATTCATAACTATAACTTTTATTCTTCCATAGGGATTTATTTCCTTTGGCATCTTTGGATTGGACAAACATTTAATCATTCTGCCTTTCAAAAGAAGGTAAATTTAGTTTTGAAATAAATCTGTATCTGTAAAGGTAATGACAAGGCCATTCTATTAAGATACTGATATTTTTAAACCTTTAGTAACTGCTAGGAGACTACAGAAAGGGTAAATTAAACACTGCAGAAAGGTTATATGTTGATTCACATATCTGTTGTAAATAACTGCAGAGAAAATACTGGAAGAACTCTTATTAATCCAACATTGTCATTTGCATTTTAACAAGAATTGATGGATGCTGACTTCTACCTATGCCATTAACTACATAAAGTAAAATGAAACTTGAAAGTGTATTTAAAAATGGAAATAATAGATGGTGTGCCCCCAAAGGTCTATATTTGACAATATAGGTTCTCCTTTGACAATAGGATTTCTCTTTCTATCAAACTGACAATTTATAGAAAACTTAAATTCTCTTCTTGCTAAATTTTTGGTTTTTTTTTTTGCTTGGTGAAGAGTTTCTTTAGATTCCGATTGGGAATTTCTTTATAATAACAATGATAGTGTGAACATAATAATGAAGTGGGAATTCTCCAACTTGGGAGTGGCAGGAAAGGGGGGCACAAGTCTTTGTATATCCTCATTTGTTTTCAAAGTCAAAATTAGTAGAAATTAGAAATACTAGTGGAATTTATCTAACCAACTATATAAAAAGTACCCAGTATATGGTCACTCTTTTTTCTTCTCCTTCTTCTTTTTTGTCATCATTAACATCATCACATTATTAAGATGTAGTTGCTAGGGTCATAATCATTTCATTAAGGAGGAAAAGTGTAATAGGAAAGTCATTGAACTTAGTTAACAGCTTCATAATGTTGATCAGATAAAATAGTCAACAGATCTATTGTCCGAGGTGACAGAAACAGAAATGTGCTGTATTCCAGATCCTAGTATTTGTCTCTTTGGTACTGAAATTGGAAAACGATTAAATAAAATACTTGATCTCTGTAAGTAATTTTTGCAACTTAAAACAGTAGAATGTAGAATAAGAAAAGAACTTCATTTATTGGCAGAAACTGAAATGGATCAAATATGTCAGGAGGGTTTATAAAATGTTCAAGTCTCAAGTCTCCCACCCTGCCTCACCTCACCCCCATCCTACCTGCTTGGACCAGGAAACCAAGTGCAGGTTATGTCTTTGCCTCGGAGACTAACAATATCTGGATGTTGTAGATGTTGGCTTTGGAAGAGCCATGTTGATGGGGTGATAAGCAAGAAGGGGTTTTCTCTCAGTGCTTTCCTTTCCTTAAAAGTGGGCTCCATAAATTTTGGTTTTTAGACTTGAATTCCTATGGAATAATAAAGAATCAGCAGAAAACAGGGGTTCTCCTGTTCCTGAGGAAATAAAAATGACCTGTCAGCAATTTATCCATTATCACCGTGACCTCTGCATCCGAAACATTGTCAAGGAAAGAAGGTAAGTACAAATTCCAGATAATTATATTTTAGATGATTAATTTTGGTTTGTAACAGGCTAAGAATGTGGTTGTAACTAACTACATGGTTGTTATTTTCAATAGCATGTTTACATGTAAAAGTTAAAATAGCTGTGGGTCAGTTTATAGTTTAAGAAACAATATATAAGATTTTTACACTTTCTAAGTGTTATATTAACTGCCAATTTCCATATAAAATGTGAAAACTAATTTAGAATGAACCAAGATGTCGTGAAATATTAACATTCACTTCACGTTGGCCATTAGTGTCTCTCACAGAGCTATGAGATACACTGGATTTAGAAGTGGCTTTCTATTCTCCATCTCCTAGCAGTATATTATTTCATATTATTAATGACACTGTCAGGAAAATGAAATGAAATTTGTATTTTAATTAATTTGGCTGCTTATTTTTCCCTTCAAGTCCTAATCTTCAGTCTATGACATCATATTTATTCTTCTAATCCTTAAGGTATGGAGGATGCAGCAGGAAATGAATGTTAAAGTGCCATGATTTTTGGTTGTCATAAATGAGGGAAAAAAAACACAACATAAAGAACCAAATACATTTATGTGTATAACTACGTATTTGAAAATTTATGAAGATTACCATTCAGGGTCATATATTTACACCTATTATGCCAGTATATTTAATTATAACCAAAAGGAGGCCTGGTATAGCCAGTGGAAAGGAGACTCACTGGTTGTGCACTGATACCAGAGGCCAGGTCCTGAATCTGCCACTTACTAGCTATGTGACGTTGGGCCAGTTCGATTCTCTGAACCTTTGTTTTCCTCTTATTTGAAGTTAGATAACATGTCTTTGAATTGGATAGCAAAATCTGTATGATGGTCCAAGCTCAGTTTCTGGAAATGGTAAACTATGAGGAAAAGTTAGTTTCTTACCCTTAAAGAGCCAAACAGAATTATTTCAAAGTTCCATCTGTGGCTAGTTCCAAGAATTTACAATTGTTTTTTTTAAAGGAAGAAAGGGCACTCCACTTCAGAAAGGCCCCCCTGACTGTGACTGCCTACTGTCAGAAGCATGGCTCTTGCTTCTAGCTGAGTGGACACTGGCTGATGGTGCTGCTGTGCATCCTATATGACGGCACATTCTCTGCATTCTGTACAGTTCCATGCACCGCGCTTGGAGCTTCCTGGTCAGTCATCAGGAAGCAAGTGCTATTCAGTTGGTGTCTGGGATTACAAGGTGTTTGTTAGGCTATAAGTTAAAACTCAACAAGCAGGGAGAAGGATCAGACAGAGGTGGTAATATTCAGGCTTTTGTTCAGAGTGATGTTTGTCGTGGCAAAGCATAAATTAAGATATCTTATTACTAAGCAAAATACTAATGTTAAAATATTTTGATTTATGTACTTGAGAAGATTTTTCATGTATATTAACCTCTTTTCTAATTTTTCTATGAAACGCTATATTCCTTGGTGGTTAAATGGTCTAAAATGTTTGTCACCTATTGCTCATTTCATCTTGATTTTCATCCGCTGTTTCCTGTTGTCAAGCACTTCAGGTTTTACAGCTTGACTAATGCTTGTGGACAGATTCATGTTGTCTCTTACATATTTGTATGAAAATCTACAGAATTCATTTAATTGGTTCTTTAACATTTCCCTTCCCCTTGTTTATTTGTTCATACGTGAGGTACCCCACATTTGCATTAGGAAGACAGATTTTAAATAATCAAGAAATAGATTCATCATCAAAGTACATTTTGAAGACCTTACATTTGTAGCAAGACAGATCACACTTATTCTTGCCTTACTTCCTAATGCAAATTCTTGACAAGCGTTATCAGTAAGAATGTCTTGCTGCTGAAGGCAGGAAGAAAGACTGTGGGCACTGTGATAAACAGAAAATAATGACGTTTGATTTGAATAGTTTAGTAAAAATAGTCACTCCTTAAGAGTTTGTAAAAAATATTATTTAATGTTCCTGAGACAATTAAGTTACTTATTATACCTGAGTATAACTTATAAAATGAACACTATTCAGCTGTCTACAGAATGGATCTGATCATAAAAGACCAGCTACTATAAAAAGAATGCTTCTTCATAGATGCATTTACATTATGTCATTTTTTTTACATGTTTCTGTTTTCACAAGCATTATTGGCATATTTTATTTTTTCCTGGTGGATCTTTCTAGGGTCAGGTGAATTAACAAACCCTTTATATTCAGAAGAGTTTCATTCCTGCCACACTTTTAACTATCATGCTGTGTTTCCCTGTCTCCTGTTTTTCCTTGCTTGTCCTCTATCATGCAGTGCTGATACCGGGTTTACAGAACATATGGGTGAATCATTCCTTTGACACACAGGTGTGGTGCAAAGACATCCGTTGGGACCTTCTGTGGCTGTGACCTGGTGAACTGGCTCATTGAAGTCGGCCTTGCCTCCGACCGCGGGGAAGCTGTGATATATGGAGATAGACTGGTGCAAGGGGGAGTCATCCAACATATTACCAACGAGTATGAATTTCGGGACGAGTACTTGTTTTATAGATTTCTTCAGAAGAGCCCTGAACAGAGTCCTCCTGCTATTAATGCAAACACGCCCCCACAGGAAACCTATAAAGAGATTGAGCATTCATCCCCATCCCCTAAGACCTAAATTATAAAGGAGACAACCCTGGGCCATATTCTAGTCTCAGATCTGTTTCTTATTAGCTGTGTGACCTTGGGCAAATCATAACCTCTCTGAGCCTCAGTTGCCTCTTCTATAAAATTTGGTGAGATGTGTTCCTACCCCGTGCGAACATTTTGTGATTTCATGTCTATGGAAAACACACAGGAAACTGACTTAGGAAAAAGAGAAAACCAAGTCAAAATTTAAAGTTCTGATAATAAATATAATAATTACTATAAACTAGTTATGCCAACATTTTAAAACATTGCTCCCCACATCTGTTTGCTATAATTTCAAAGTCAACATCTAATGTACTATTGCTTTAAATTGCCAAATTTGGCAGGTATACTGCTAGCAGGAAATGGACCTTAAATTATGACAACTTTGCACTTATTGATAGCACCTCCTGAAAAAGAATTTTAATGATTCTGATAAAAGGCCTTATTCTGTTTTTCCCATTTTCTTAACAAATAGTACTCTTTAAAAACTAGAAGCAGTATTTTTTTAAAGTTCATCTTTTCTTATTTTTGTATCCAAAATACTAATCTGTGCCACAGGAGGTGAATAAGAACCACCATAAATATTATCTCCAAAATCCATCAACAGAAGTCTAATCTTTAACTTTTGTACTAAAAATAATTTCAGCAGTTTTGTTTAAATTTTATCAACAAAATTATTGTCATATATCAATTCTGGTGTTTGCACAAAGCATCACAGTGCAGAAGAATAGCCCTATCACTTTATTCCCTGTAGTTAAAAAAAAAAACTATATAATTCAAGTTAAGATTTAAAAATTCTAAACCTAACATCCTACTTTTACATCTAGAATTTAGTCTTTTTAAAGTATCCATGTATAACAATCTATAAACTTGAAAATTATTCAGTGTTGCCCTCAGATAAGCTTTATCTTCAATAAATTAAAAAGAGATCTATTCACATGACCTTTGAACCTCTACTTGTTAGGTGTCAGTGCTGGTTTAACTTATTTAAAACATGTTTCGAGTATTTATTTTTCTCATACTTTTAATGTCTCATGTAAAAGCCATTTAGAAAAATAATTTATAGATTTAAATCATTGCCCTTTTAATGCAACAAATATGTAATTTTTTTAAAAAACCTGCATGGAAGCCTGGTGTATTTAACAAGTAAATTATACTTTATTGTGTAGTATTAACCTGTACCAACTTTATGTTATGATTAGGGAATGGGGATATTTTTTCAGCAGAACTATCTTGCTGCAAGGCCCTTTTTTTCATATGACCACATTATAAGTCTCAGAATGCTCAGGAGTAAGCATAAAGCCTCACTGTTATACCAGGAGACTTTTATAGTGACAGCAATACAGATATTAATTCACATGCATGCATGCAGGCAACTCAAACTGGAGAATCTGTTTTGTGAACAAGTCATACTTCACATGTTCTGTTACTTGCATGAAGGGAATAGCAACATCTTTTTCCATGGGAAACACTAAGAGAAAACCCTGGGTCTGAATGATCTGAGGTTTCAGATAAGCAAAGGCTTTTTAGGGATGTTTTTAGGATTATGGATATGCTAATTTTGTTAAATGAAAATATTTGTAACTTTTACTCTCACTGACAAAGCAAGTTTCTCAATAAAATACCTATTTTAACTTGCATTGCCATCATCTTTTCTTTGAGTAATCTGAAAAATGCAGAAGCCATCACAGAGGTCTTTTCTATACGTTTTCAATTTTTTTTTTTAAGATTTTATTTTTTTGAGAGACAGAAAAAGCACGAGCAGGGGGAGGGGCACAGGGACAAGAAGACTCCCCACTGAGCATGGAGCCCATCATGGGGCTTGACGTGGGGCTCAATCCCAGGATCCTAAGACCGTGACCTGAGCCAAAGTCAGACGTTTAACTGACTGAGCCACTCAGGCGCCCCTCAGTGTTTTGTTAAATGGGTCTCCTGAGATTGTTCCATTTTTCGTGACTCTATGCACGGGGATCTATATGCACAGGGCCTTGCTCAATTATGCACTCAGTAAGCACTTTTTGTTAATGAATCAGTATGACAGAGTCCTTTACACATTTCATAATATTTAATATGCAGGGTCACAGCTGAGAAAATTACCTGATAGAATTTTGATTTAAATCTACCCCTTTTAGGTGCCTGGCTGGCTCAGTTGGTAGAGGAGGCAACTCTTGATCTCAGGGTCATGAGTTCAAGCCCTACGTTCGGTATAGAGACTACTTAAAAAAAAAAAAAAAAATTACCCTTTTAGGCTAATATTCAGTATGGTAAGTTGTTCATTTCTTTGTTCTGATTAATTCCCTGAATAGTTTTTGTTTAAACTTCAATAATTTTGGGATAAGGTAGAGTGTGCTTGGAATTTTAAGAATAACGATTAATGACATTAAGTTTGTAAAAGCAAGAAAAATGTAAAACTAGTATTTTACATGTTTGCTATGTAGGATATAGCTCTTAGTTTTTGCCCCTTCAATTCTCATATGACGTAAAATATTAAATTACTTTAGACCACTGGTCATAGGTAGTCAAGTGATGTCTGATGGTTAGAAACATAGTTCAGAATCAGAAATGTTATCACCATTCTTCAGGAAAAGGTGAGATGATAAATTTCTATGATTGGTATGAGAAAAGCCTGAAGTAATTAATTAAAAAGAGAAAACATTCACTCTGTTGAATCTGTTTTTGGCAAATTTTATAAGTAGGAACTAAATTTCCAAAATTCTAGGCTGCATAATTATTTCTAGGACAAAATTTTTGGTAGATCAACAAAACTCAAAGACAATCTACTGAATGTGAGAAGATATTTGCAAATGACATAACTTAAAAAGGATTAGTATCCGAAATATATAACTTACACAACTTGACACCAAAAACCAAATAATCCAGTTAAAAAATGGGCAGAAAACACAGACATTTCTCCAAAGAAGACATATAGATGGTCAACAGGCACATGAAAAGATGCACAATATCACTCACCATCAGGGAAATGCAAATCAAAACCACAGTAAGATGTCATCTCACACCTGTCAGAATGGCTAAAATCGAAAACACAAGAACAAGTGTTGGCGAGGATGTAGAGAAAAGGAACCCTCGTGCATTGTTGTTGGGAACGCAAACTGATGTAGCCACTGAGGAAAACAGTATGGAGGTCCTTCAAAAAATTAAAAATAGGACTACCATATGATCCAGGAATTGGACTACTATTTACCCAAAGAATACAAAAACATGAATTTGAAAGGATATATGCATCCCTATGTTTATTACAGCATTTTTTGCAATAGATAACCAAGTGTCCATCATTAGATGAATGGATAAAGAAGATGTGATATATATATATATATACACACACACACACACACACACACAATGGAGTATTATTCAGCAATAAGAATGAAATCCTGCCATTTGCAACAATATGGATCTACAGAATATAATGCTAAGCGAAATAAGTCAGTCAGAGAAAGACAAATACCATATGATTTCACTCATATGTGAAATTTAAGAAAAAAACAAAGGAAAGAAAAGGAAACCAAAAGAGAAACTATTACATACAGAGAACAAACAGATTGGGGATGGGGGAGAGTGATGGGTGAAACAGGTGAAGGGGATTAAGAGTACACTTATCTTGATAACACTGAATAATAGATGGAATTGTTGAATGCCTATATTGTACACCTGAAACTTTTTGGTTGAAGATTAATACATAAATTGATGTTTTCACCAAAGATCAAACAAACTAGCTTTCTCTAAAGTACTCAATTTATTAAACTATTCCCTGGGTTTATTACACCGTTGTAAATAATAAACCACACCATTTAAGGGTTAACCAAAAAGAAAAAAAACAAAAGCTTAATTTCAGCTACTATATTTTTTACTTAAGAAATACATGAAATTTAAGAAAACCTTAAGTTTTCTAAGATATACCACAAGGCATTACCCACATGATTACCAAAACCCAAATACCATATCGGATTTACAGAGTCAAAGCCTCCCAAACTGTTCCTTAATTCACATATCCTTATAATAATCCTTGTATTTAGGGAGGTATTTATTCCCATTTTGAATATGGAAAAAGGCAACAAGTTGGACCTGTGGCTTTACAAAGGTTACCAAGTAGTACAGATAGTTTGTCTCGGTAATTTGCTCAACTTTACAGAGGACTGTACAAGTTATTTCCATCACCACTCTAATGCTCATTTAACAAATATTTATTGAGCATCTAGCTTGTGCCAATGTTGAATACTGAGCTCACAATGGTAGGAACAAAGACGGTTCCTAACCTCATAAAGCTTCTAGATGACTGTGAAAGACAGATGTTAGACATATAATTACCCTTCTGATCAGGATCACATGTGGCTCTGAGAGTATGTAACAACAGACTTGACCCTGTGGTATGGGGAAGACTTTCCTAAGGAACTCATGTTTCAGCAAAATTCTAAAGGATGAAAGGAACTACTGACACAAAGAGGAGTACATGAAAGGAATGGTGCAAGGAGGGGGTACCGCTGTTGTGAAAGAACTGGGCACATTCGAGGATTTGAAACAGCAGCATAGGAAGAGCTTTTTAAAAAGGGGAAAGCAAATTGATGCAGGCACTGTGGAAAACACTATGGAGGTTCCTTGAAAGTTAAAAATAGAATTACCATATGATCCAGTAATTCAACAACTGGGTATTTGCCCAAAGAAAACAAAAACACTAATTCAAAAAGATATATGCACCCCTCTGTTTATTGCAGCATTATTTACAATAGCCAAAATGTGGAAGCAACCCAAGTGTCCAACCATAGATGAATGGGTAAAGAAGTTGTGGTATGTACATATACAATGGGATATTATTCAGCCATAAGAAAGAATGACATCTTGCCATTTGTACCAACATGGATGGACCCAGAGGGTATAATGTTAAGTGAAATAAGCCAATGAGAGAAAGACAAATACCGTATTATTTCACTCATACATAGAATTTAAGAAACAAAACAAATGAACACCAAAAAGAAGAAGAAAAAAGAAACAGACTTAAATACAGAGAAGTGGTGGTTGCCAGAAGGGAGGTGGATAGGGGGATGGGTGAAATCGTTGAAGGGGATTACGAAAAAAAGAAAAAACATTGGCGAAACTGTAATAAGATATAGATGGGGAAGATCAGCAGGATCTTGTTGATAGTTGTTAAGGACTGGGACTTACTTCAAAGACTCTTTAAGAGTTTTAGACTCAACAATAAGAAAATGAACAACCTGACTTTTAAAATGAGCGAAAGAGGGGTGCCTGGGTGGCTCAGTCGTTAAGCATCTGCCTTCAGCTCAGGTTGTGATCCCAGGGTCCTGGGATCAAGCCCCACGTTGGGCAACCTGCTCTGCGGGAAGCCTGCTTCTCCCTCTCCCACTCCCCCTGCTTGTGTTCCCTCTCTCACTGTGTCTCTGTCAAATAAATAAAATATTTTAAAAAATAAAATAAGGGCCACCTGGGTGGCTCAGTCGTTAAGCATCTGGCTTCGGCTCAGATCATGGTCCCAGGGTCCTGGGATTGAGCCCCGCATTGGGCTCCCTGCTCCGCAGGAAGCCTGCTTCTCCCTCTCCCACTCCCCCTACTTGTGTTCCTCTCTCGCTGTGACTCTCTGTCAAATAAATAAATAAAATCTTTAAAAATAAATAAATAAATAAATAAATAAATAAAATAAAATAATAAAATAATAAAAAATAAAATGAGCAAAAGATCTGAACAGATGTCACCAAAGAAGATAGATGGCAAATAAGCATATGAAAATATGTTCTGCATCATATGTTATCAGCAAATTAAAACAATGAGATACTACTACACACCTAGGAGGTGGCCAAAATCCAGAACACTGACAAATACCTAATGACAAGGATGTGAAGCAACAGAAACTCTCATTCATAGCTGGTGGAATGCAAAATCGTAGTCACTCTGGAAGGCAGTGTGGCAGTTTCTTACAAAACTAAACATACTCTTACCATACCATCCAGCACTCATGTTGCTGGGTATTTACCCAAATAAACTGAAAACTTATGTCTACACAAAAACCGGCACACAGATGTTTATAGCAGCTTTATTCATAATTACCAAAACATGGAAGCAACTAAGATGTCCTTCAGTAGTGAATATCAGCAACCAAGATATCCAGACAATGTAGTATTATTCAGCACTAAAAAGAAATGAGCTCTCAAGCCATGAAAATACACGGAGGAAACTTAAATGCGTATTACTAAGTAAGTGAAAGAGCAAATCTGAAAAGGCTAAATACTGTATTATTCCCAACTATATGATATTCTAGAAAAGGCAAAACTATGGAGACAGTAAGGAAGATAAGTAGTTGTCAGGGATTAGGGGGAGGGAGAGATGAAGAGGTGGAGCACAGATGATATTTAGAGGAGTGAATCTACTCTGTATGATACCATGATCATTAATACATATCATTATACATTTGTCCAAACCCATAGAAGGTACAATGAGTGAACCCTAATGCAGACTATGGATTTGGGGTGATAAGGATATGCCAATACAGGTTCATCAATTATAGCAAATGTACCATTCTAGTGTGGGATGTTGATAGAGGGGTAAATTGGAGGTGGGACAGGAGGTATGTGGGACTCTGTACTTTCTGTTCAGTTTTGCTCTAAATCTAAAACTTGCTATAAAAAATATTTTCTTAAAAAGTTTTAGAGGGCAATTCATGATCAGATTTACATTCCTCAGAGATCACTCAGGCTGCAGTGACATCTGTGATGGAGATAAAGAAAAAAAACGGGTGTAGAAGACAGTTAACTGCAGTTGTCAGGTGAGAGATGGTGCTAGTTGAGTCTAGGGTGGTGTGGGAGGAGAAAGAGAAAACATGTTGGCCCTAGGGAGAGAAATAAGATTCAAGTATGTGTCCCTGGATAAATGAATGGACTGCTTACCCTTAGTTTCCTCATATATTAAGAGAGAGAAAAGAGGTATAGGGGTTGGCCAAGGGTCGTCATGATTTGGGGAGAACCTAACACTGAACCATATGTAAGACAAACATGGAATTAACTGAGTACTTGAGACAATTATCTTTTCTTTTGTAATGGCAGCCCTGTATTAGACAAGAGCAAAATCAGGCAGATTATGGTTGTTATGAGAGAACTTTTAAAAAAAATTTCTTTTTTTTTTTAAAGATTACTGATATGAGGAATTCTTAATCTCAGGAAACAAACTGAGGGTAGCTGGAGTGGTGGGGGGTGAGAGAGATGGGGTAGCTGGGTGATAGACACTGGGGAGGGTATGTGCTATGGTGAGCGCTGTGAATTGTTTAAGACTGATAAATCACAGACCTGTACCTCTGAAACAAATGGTACATTATATGTTAAAAAAAAAAAAAAGAAGAAGAAGATAGTAGGAAGGGAAAAATGAAGGGGGGGAAATCAGAGGGGAAGATGAACCATG